GTACCAAGCATAACGAATCATAGGAACAAAAAGTTTTGAGGACATTTAATGGTGTACCAAAGACTGAAGTTGAATAATATTGTTTCTGTCCGATAGGTTGATGTCCACTTTGTCAAGCATGACGTGATCGAACACTTTGCGTAAGATCATCTTATGTTGTCGATTATAAAAGACATCTAACGGCTGAATCTTATCAGTCGTCTTTGCTGGAATAATGAGATGTGTGAGAGCTTTGACAGATTGGTATAAACGAGGAGCATTCTTGGTAGACCATGAATCGAACAACAAGAGAGTTTTGGCTGTGATAAAAGGAATTAGACAACGATCGCTACAGTACTCAACGAGTGAACTTGTCAGTTTTCCAGAGCTGCTACAAGTCACTACCACATTTTTTACTTGGAACGAATTTTATTCGATACTATTGGTCATTTTGCGAGTACTCTCTTTCAAGCAGAGATAGTGAGGCCCAATAACATGACCTGAAAGAAAATGGAAAAATTAGTGTGAATAGTGTACCAGCTAAAAGAAAAGGACTTATTCGTGCCTTCAAGAATGATCGTTGGTTGAATTGTATATGAATGAATGTAAGCATTTTTTGAACGAACTGATACGAGTGTTGTTTTTTCGCTCTTATATGATAGTGTTCTTGAGGAATGGACTTCCATCTCGACTTCGACTTGATCGGTATTAAGAACTTCGGATGAAGAGTAATTTGGAAGGAGTTTGCGAACTTTTTCAATGAATTTATTAGCCGAATCGGTGACTGTATTTTCATCCATCGTTTCATGTCTTGTGACAATCTATTAAAATTCTGTATAATCATACAAATGTATCTCGTTGCATGAACACAAAAATGTTTTGTTATCGTACAGAAGTCTAGAAGAACACTATCTAGAGAAGAATTGTCTAGACTGATCTGTTAACTTGTTGATTTTTTTTTTAGCTTACAAATCGTTGTGAAAGATTCTTTTGCATATAGTTAACCTATCGGGTTATACTAAAAAGCTTTTCAATCATATGATAGCTATATGATATTCTGAATCGATTCTCTAATCCTCAACAAAACACAAGAATTCTGTACCTTCGTGATTTTATGCGAGCATAAACAGTGTCGATGCTTAAAATTCAGCAGTCAATGATGACTAGCAACGAAATTTTGA